CATTTATATTACGTCTCGAGATAAAGTTATCCGAGAAAAACTCGCGAGTAAGGTAGCACACTCATTAAAAGTTAGCGCTACAACTGCTGCCTTAACATTTTTACACCTTAATACAATTATTTAATGAAAAAGTTTTGAAAGTAAAAAAATAGCCACAAAGTTGCCACTTCCCGTACAAGACTGAATGTTTAAACTAGAATCTTGTAAATGGGTAAACACAATAAAAAAACCAGTACTCTTTGTCATGGAGAACTCTGTGTTCTTTTCTTCGCTTCTAAGAAATACCCTTTTATGTTTCATTTTAAATATTTGCGATCCTTTACGTCTAGATACCGAGTAAGGATAAGCAAAGCATAAATACAAATATGAGCAAACTAAAGTCTGGGCAATATAAAATGTTACGTAAGTAAGCTAATACACTTACCTAATGTACGTTCTGACGTAACCAATTATAAATTTAAAACAAATAAACATTTAAGTACCTACATCCAATTCCTTGAGTCATGCTGATTTAATTTTGCAAGTACCCGTCCAATTATCCTAAAAAAATTGTAGTATCCATAGAAAGACGATCACTAAGACTTTTAAAAGTATATTTTAGATATGTTTTTGTTTTTAGATGACAAAGAAAAGTTTGCTGCTAGTTTCTCCTTTGTTTTTTGGGTATAATAAGCGTAATGTTACCTACCGTATTTTTGTATTCAATACAAAATTGTTTTTTGTTTGTAATCCTATCCAAATCAACGATATCAAAGGTGGCCTTGTTATTGGAATGGTATGTAATCTTTTTAGTTTAAGACTAGTTACACCACTTGCTACTCTTAAGTTAAACGCAAAAAGAACTTGTCTTGAATTTTTCGAACAAGTAATATAAGTGAGCTGTATTATGGCCTGCGTCACTAAGATGTATATATATGTGATGATATATTAGTATAATATGGATTTCGGATTCCACAACCTTGGCCCTTATTTTTTATCTTTTTACTCTACATATACATAGAACAAGAGATACACCACGACACTCGTGCTCCAGGTATTAACTCAACTGGACGAAGTCTGCTCTGCTCGTCTATATTGCAATTACCTGGTAAATACCAGTCATGGACTAATATTAATATGCATAACAACTTATTGTTAAGCTATTTTTTTAACTTTCTGACCATAATGGACTCAACGCCCAATAAATTTCCATAATCTCTTCAATTAACTCACTCGAAAACGAATTGTATGGTTTAGATTATGGAAATTGATTGGAGAGATTGGCTTGAGGAGTCACCACACTCGCTCTCAAGATCAAAGCGAACGAAAAATTAAATATTATTTGTCGCCTCTCAAAGCGTGATTTGTTCAAAGAAAAGTCAGCAAGACTGGAATTCAATCGCTTTCTTCATCAACTTCACTTCCTCGTTTAAATGCCAATTATCGCCTTGGAGCTATGCCCTGTTCTAGGCGGTTCGTATTGAAAATTGACAAGTCTGACGTAAGCAGATAAATATTTACAACGCTAGTTGTAAATATTTACCGGTGAACCCGCCTCGGCTACGTACTGGTGCAATGTATTATACATATAAATCTTCCTCTTGAATCACTTTATCTAGTAAAAAAAAGCGCATCAAGATCCGTTGCGTAGTTTTAAAGATCTATTATATCTTTTATTATAAATCTCGTAAGGAATTCGAACCTAAGAACCGGTGAGGCCGAAGAAAAATAAAGTTAAAGAGTACGCCGTGCGCGCACTCATTTTTTCATTTATCTTAAGCTTCATTTTACCACACCGTAAGAAGAATAGTACGTAAGAATCATGCCTTCATAGGTAATAAATACCCTTCCCATAATCGAAAAACTAGAGTAAGCAAATCAAAAATGTTGCTACAAGTAATGTTAAATTAACCTTTGGGCTGGTTGCTATAAAGAAAAGTCCAAGAACACATTACAAATGTCAGTTGTATCGCGATCAGGTATGTTGTGAATTTATGAAATCGTTTCCTATTGTTTGATATTTTACTAAAAACATTTTTGAAGGCTTAGTGTTTGTCAAGTACACAATACTTATCGCTTAAGAGACTTCGATTTAAAGGTTTTTAATATCTAGACAATGTTAGAAATGATATAATATGTGTCTTAGAAATAATTGGTGATGTAATTTTTATTATTAGTCAAAGGAATAGTCATAATAATAGATACCTAAAATCACTGTTCTTTTTTATATCTACAAATAGCAAAAATGTTTTTCCTGTTTCGTAATTAATATACCTATAACAAATCTGAGCTTTCCAAGGTCATCTATCCGGAGAAACCCCGGAGTAGTGGATTTATTTTTAAGGACTTTTTCCATCGTTTTCATTAAAATAATAGCCCAGAAATAAATAACTTGAATACTGTTTATTTTTTCCTAATCAAATTATTGTAAAGAGATAAATCAGGGTGGATAATTTTTGTAACCAAAAAATATAACACTAGGATGTTACTAATTGGAAAAGGAGAAGATATGATAAAAATTAAAGGAAAAATAAATTACGGGCGATCTGAGTTCAGGAAGTGGGGGGGTGGGGTGTAGATTTTAAAGGTAAAAACGGTTTATCTCGATTTCCAATAATAGTTAATAATAAAGTTGTAGGTAATAAAAAGATCTACAGCTTTTGTTATTTACACTTTTTCACATAACCTCAAAATATATGTGCAAAATTCAAATAACTTATTTAGTTTATTATTTTTATCTTTTACAAATTTTTTTTTACGAAATTTCTTGCAAATTTTCCTTTTTAAGTCCAAAATACACAATACAATTTATTTCAGCTTTACTAAAAAAGGTACTGTAAAGGTACAAACTGCTTTAGTATTACAAAATGGCACGTATAACTTCGGTGGTCTGGTGAACAGGTTCTTATAAAGGTATGAATATATCTCAACGTTCAGCTTAACCATAAAGTTGTATCCTATAATGTTCAACTATTTATTCGTTATTTAATGAATTTGAAATAAAACTTAACAGACCAAAAACACTGCCTAAAAAGACCCATCCCGTCGTTACCGAATTATCGTTGCTCTACCCTAGTTGATTTACCAAACATAAACCGCTATCTATAATACAAAATAAATTTAAATAATTATGTTATTTCATAAAAGGAAAAAGTAGAAAAACGAAGACTTTATGCAGCTGGGCAATAACGCTAAAGACATAATTAATATATTATTATTTTCCGCCCGGCAACGGACAAATTTCGCTAAGCGTCAACTCTTATTAGAATATAATGCATATATAAGTGATGATAATGACCAACTGGTACTCTTTTGGTAAGAGATACTCACTCATTTCATTCCATCGGGCTAGACAGAGATAGCTAATGCTAAAAGTCAGGTCTCACCAGGCCCAGATTTAGAGTTCTGGAGGCCTCGGGGCAACAAAAGGAGTGGAGGCCCCTTGACCCCAAATTATTTTCTAAATAAAATGAACAATTATTTTCTGACGAGTTTTCAAAAAATATGAAATATTGTGAAATTAAATATAAATATAAACAGGAAAAGTTGTTTACTAGTGTTTACTAGTCTGAATTTGAATTTTTTTCCGAAGTCTCTCCCTCTTTCTTCTTCTTCTCCCTCTTTTGTGGAGACCCCGGGGCTGTAGCCCTCCGGTTGCCCTCCCCTAAATCCGGCCCTGGGTCTCACTGAGTTATTATAAGCACAAAGAAGGTTCGGCGTCGGACACCTGACATAAATGGATAGTGATTTTTGTACGTCAGAAGTTCGCCATAATCACAGAAATTATTCATGCATACGACATGATTTCAATACAACAACAGCCAATAACAACCCACACCTAATTTGAAAAATTGATAAAATGACGATAGAGATAGTTGTTGTAAGCTCTTTGTTATTAAAGCTTTACTTTACGGAAATGTTTCCCAAATTGAGAGAAATTTACAGAAATCAATTGTTGTTTCATCTAGTGTCATCATTTTAAATTTTGAATTATTATGGCCCATATTTAAAATTAGAATTGTAACAGATAATTAAGGTAACACTGGTTTACACGGTTTTCATACCCCAGCTAAAAGTTGTTATTTTGTTATTTATTAAGGTAGAATTAACCAGAAAAAATAATAAAAAAATTATGTTACGTCTGGTTTAAGAAATACTTATTAACTTAACTGAAATACATAATTTTAGTATTAATACTAAAAAAAATTACAAATTTTTGCCTTTTTTATAGCTATTTGAATCAGTTTCTGTTATAATCGACCAACAGTAGTCCCCTAATATATTTTCATCCCAAAATCCTTGATGTCGTTCTTCAAAAACCTTTAAATCTTGGAGAAAATATTCCCCTTGTTCGTCACTCATACTTCCTAAGTTTTCACGGAAAAAATCGGATGCGAGTGCAGGAAATGAATCTTTAATGATATGTTCACTCCCATCTTTTGAAAATTTTCCAATAAATCGTCAACAATTTCTTTGTAATTGCAAAAGAAAATCCAAACTAATGGAGATATGCACTTTTTAACGAATCTACAATGGAAGACCCTTTGTAGATATTCTTTTTTTTAAATATAAACTGTCCACAAAATAACAAAAATGATCAGAACTTTGTTTACACTTTCTAATCGACTTTTTAAATCAATCCGAAACAAGATAATTGTGTTTTGAAGCGAACGAATAAACAACGACAACATGTCACCACGTTAGGTAGTTAAAAAAACATTTGACTGCAGGAAGAATTTGTGGCGTGATAAAATATTTTTACAAACACTTTTTGGTTTAAGGAAGGTAGATTAACATATTTATATACATTTATTTTGGGGTATAAAAAATTTTCAATTTTTTAAACTAGTGTAATTTTTAAATCAAGGTTATTATTATGAGAAAAGAAATCATCAACATCGATATCAATGCTAATACCATTAGCAGAGATTTATTAGATGTCTATAACTAGGCTTTTCAAAAAGTAATAGAATATATTGATTTTAAATTCGTAAATAATGTAAATAAAACTTTTATTTCAGATGGAGAGGCAGCGTGTACAAGCTGGTGTGGCGCGAGTTGCTTGCATATCTCACACTGTATTACACGATCAATTTATTGTATCGGTTTGCACTAACAGAACAACAACAAAGGTATGCATTTATATGTGCTGAGGAGTCTGCAAAATTAATTCTAGATAACGAAAATACATATAGGTATAATGTAAATATAAGTTTTAATAGAATACAATGTGCTAGATCATGCGTGTGCAATGTATTTTTCTTTTAAATAAGAATCGAAGGTAAGCTTTTCTCAATAATCTTTTAGATACGGCGTAATTTGTAGCAATTATTCTATGTAAGGCAAAAACTGTAGGCGTCTTCCGTTTTTGTTTATTATATTTAGCTCGAATGTAGACAGAAGGACATAAAAGAAATCTGACGGGAAATTGGCTACGTAATAAAACAAATAATTAGCGATATTCGCTATTTCGATGAAAGGATCGCTTCGAATCTGTATGTTCGCCTACGCGATACTAAAAAAGGTTTGATCATTTTCTCGTCAACAGGATATCGTTAAGTTGTCGGATACCTAATTAGCGTGAATTAATTAATGACGACACAAGGGTACGTTTATTTCGGTAAAGGTCTCTAATAACACTTAATGCACGTGAAAATTATTTCGGAAAAAGGCTCTGGTGACGCAATATTATTCGAAGCAAGCGCGAAGTATCATACCGGTTCCTCACAAAGGGCTTCCGGGGCGCTGGAAGGTATTCCTCTGTGAGTTCGTTGTCAATAACGCCCGTTAACGTTTCGTGCTTAAACTCGTTTCTTGCTAAAAATAAATGTACGCTGTCGTCGATAGCAGTCCGATTTTGTAGTTATACAAACATGTTATTAGTATTTATTCGGTTACAAGCATGTCTGTCACATGCATTTACATTAGTACAAAAGATGTGCTGCTATTTGTTGCAAAAAGGAATAAAATATATAACAAACAAGAAATAAATATATTGTTTGGCATGACGGGTGGTCTTTCGTGAACAATTGGCTGATATTTACCCGTTGATTTCGATACAGTTAAATAATCAGGTTTGTAAAAGACTAAGGTGATCGATTTATGTAAGTCATTAAATGTGCTAGGGCCACGCAACAGCTGTTTCACGAATGGACAGGTCCGTCCGGATAAGTACCTCATAGAAGATCGGCGAGAAGTGGAAGTGTTATACTTCTTCGTTTCGTCTGGTGAGTGAGGCAGCCGGGGCCCACTTTATCAAAAGGTAGCAACGCATCTGCAACCCTACGGGTGTTGTAAGTATCCTTGGGCGGCGGGTATCACTGAACATCAGGTTAACCGCCACCTCGCCATTTACTCACATAAAAAAATGTCCGGCTGTATTTCTACACACCTAATTTTGTTTTTTATACACTTAATGGGGACTATAGATCTCAGTATCTGTTATATTTTCAACTTGCTAGGTGAACCCGTTCCTGAGAAAATCGGTGGTGACACATGGACAAGAGACTGATCTTATAAGCGTACCTTTTTAAACGGTTTTATTTAGCTCGACCCGTACGGAATTTATTTGTTTATTTGGTTAAAAATTAGAAATTGAAATTAAAGCACCTTCCCGTTCTCAGATTGATCTGAAATTTGGTACACACATTTAATTTAGATGACAATACAATATTTCAGTGCACATAAAATAAAACCGTTTAACTTAAAAGTTTTTAAACGGTTTTATTTACCTTTTAAGGTATGGAACCGTAAAAACAAAGTTATGTGAAGTCCACCCATAACATATCGTCCGTGTTGACGTTGTGGACTTTGACCCTCTGTAAAGAAGAGGCCCTTGACGACTAACAGTGGGACATCCATAGGTTGTTAGCTTAAATCCATCTGGTCCAAAAAATTACGACCATAAATTCATTCCTACTTTAAACGATTGTAACTATTTTAAATAAAATCTGTATAATTCGTCATATACCCAAACTGCAGTATACTGTTGTTCACCAATATTTTTATATATTACTAGCTGCTGCCCGCGACTACGCTGCGTAGAATGGGCTGAAGGCGTAACATTCATAAATTATAGCCTATGCCTTATACTGATGTATAAGCTATATTATTGCAAAGTTTCATTAAAATCCATTCAGTAGTATTCGCTTGAAAGAGTAACAAACATCCATCCATACATACAAACTTCCGCCTTTATAATATTAGTCAGGATGTATTTCTAACGGCAGTTAAGTTATACAGCTTGTCTTTACCATCGCGACAATAAATGATCACACATATAGAGGATAACTTTTTAAAATTGTATTAAACATTTACTTTCTTTAAACATCAATATTTACAAATATTATTAATTTAATAAATTTTCCAAAACAAAGAATTTTAGAACATCTTACGTATAAAACTGTAACGTAAAGTTGAATGAATTTAAAAGAGACAAAACATACTGTTAGAAGGTATGAATCAGTCAGTTTTAGTTGTATAGGATGTTACAAATTTTGTTTCTTTTTTACTTAATTAGTTTGTTTGAAAAATATTTTTTTTTAATTATGGATTTTATTTAACGTTAATATTTTTTTATGATTATTGGCAAGTAGCGTTAGACGTGTGTTCATTTATTGTCGCAATGGTAACGACACGCTGTATGTGACCGAAGATTAGGTTTATCAGCCATACTTTATAATGACGTATCTTACTTTATTTTAAGTTCAATATAGATACCTACTTCATACTTTTCATAAAAATAAAGTATGTGAAAATACTCTATTTTCAATCTTTACTGTGATGCACCTCTATGGATAATTACTGAATTTTTATCGATACTTTTAAGTTGAAACAGAACTTGCAACTTTCTTCGTTGTTAATTATATTATACAGAATGGCTTTCCTAAAGGTGCCCAAATTCACACAGGAGGTTAAAACACGGTAGTAAGTATAATCGTTTATTAAAATAAAAACAAAAAAATGCCATTCTATTCCCTAAAAACAGAACTTGTTGACACTGCGATAGTCATTCATAAATGCGTCGTATACTTTTGAAAGGAACTTGTGTGCGTGTTAGTTATGAATGATCGCGCGTAAAATAAATGAGTTGCCCATAAATCACGCACATTTTTGAGATAAGTTCAAATGAATGTAATAATTTAATTACTAGTGATTTTAAATATTTATCATTTTTATATAATATTATTTATATCTCGAATTTAATTAAAAAAATTGATACACTTAGAAAAGCCATATTATGAATAAACAAAATTTTCATCTCCCTAAATTTGTCGCTTTTTTCATTTGATCTATTTTTAAACCTGGAATCTTTGTGGGATCAGTGTGTGTGTCACTTTGTGTTTTCCCAGATTAAAATTTTAATAAAACTTACTTTTTTATTTAAATTTAAAGATAGTTTCCAAAAATTTAAGTATAGTGCAAAACTGTGAGTGTGGGTCAGAAGCATACAAAAACATATCTTCTAGAGGAGAAATAATTATTGTAAGCCTCGAATCCTCGCTGGTTTCTAAATAAGAATTTAATAAAATATAAAATAAAATATCGAAATATACATTATATGAATTTTAATTATTTATAATGCTAATCTCTGCACTTAAGATTAAACATGAAAATATGTAGAAAAAGCTTAGTGGGTAAAGCGTCAGGCCGCGAATGCCGAAGACGTGGGTTCGATTCCCACAGCGGCGACAATCTTTTCGTACTTTTTCTACATATTTTTATACATTATACGTATGATTGAATCCATAATCCAATTGAGAAGCTCCGTATAAGTATTTCTGGAATCGATATCTTGCCAGAAACTACTATTATTCAAGCATAAAAGCTATTTAATCTTCAATTTACAAAAAGGTACGAAACTCTCGGCTATGGTTCACTTTACGTGGAAATTTTCACGTAATATAGCATTGCTCATGATTTCAAATTGGAGTTTGTTGCGACGTTAAGTTGTTGTGTGGGAGGATGTTCATATTAAATAATATTTAATATTTAGTGAGATTTTATATACGGCCGTGCTCAAATTTGTCTGTAGGAAACGTTATTATTTCAATCATCCTAAAGAACTCTATGAACGGTGACTTAACACGCGATGAATATATTATAATAGCTTCCGCAAATTTATTAATTTATTCCACCTCGCCAAAACGAAAGATATTAAAATTTATTTATTTTAATTAGGTATCACGTCAGACGTATTGTGCATAATAAATAGAAAAATATAATCGATAGTTCATTTTCAATTGTATATTATGTTTCTTAAAATAGACAGACTTAAACGGATCGCAATTATTTGGGCGGCGGCCTTTAGTTGCGATTGCATGATTGACACAATTTCAATTCCATCAAGAATAAATAGACCAGTCGAACGCGACACTCCGTAAGCTGTCTTCGCACCCCGACGTTTGGTTTGTGAAGCGTCGCTCTTCACTTACAATCTTTCTATATTAATACGTGAACCAAAAACTTTATACCCGTTTTACGAAAATTGCGCGGACGGAGGAGTATGAAACTTCCCACACTTATATAGAGAAGAATTGGAGAAGGCTTATATTTACATTACATTACATTTCAATCAATAAAAAAAAGTTACACACGCTACCATGTATAATTAATTATGGTGTGAATTTCGACCACTAGGCGACCACTAGTTACAATTATTACGCGTGATCAAAATCCGTTACGGATGTGATTGCAACGGTTTTGCCGCTCACATTGTTACAAAGCGGCGACATTAAGCTAACAATGATTAAGGTAGGTACCCACGGCGGGTGACATCGTGTCTGGCTTACGACACGTGCTTTTTTCATATCAACTCGCCAATACGTCGACTACGTTGCGTTGAAAAATTTAAATAAGCACCATATTTTTCCGGCAATAATAAATAAATAGAACCGAATATAGCTGCCGCTGTTGGCTGTATCTAAAATCGACAACGTTTCCTCGATACAAATAACGAACAAAAAGCGTTTTACGTAACCAACATTTATGCAAGCACGTTTCTTTGAAACGGTAAACTATTGCCACGCACGTGTCCGCCGTAATTAAGACGGAAAAAAATGTTGAGTTTACGCAATTCCCTGAAATGGCTTAAAATCACTATTTATAATTCAAAGAAAATTTTAATACTCAGCGCGTTTTGATGTTAACTGCCCTACTTTTTCAAACGGCCTACGTTATGGTTAGGAATCACCGTCTTTCATGGAGATAAAAGTAGAGGAATTTTAAATCCTTATAACTAAATTGGTTTCTACTAATTGTACTATTGTACAACAGTGGTGTTTTCAAAAACTATCATGTACTCGTAAGTTGTGTCAATGGACAGCAGTGTAAGGTATGTATTGTGACGGTTAAAACGGCATTTAAATGTTCTATAAGAAATTAACTCTGCACATATTAAAGGTCACAGTTTTCTTCATCAGAGAGACTTGGTAGATCAGTCTCCAGATGATAATCCACTTAGGCTTGTATCCCAATTTTCATTATAAACTGCCTCGCACGGCTCATCACCAGTTAAATCGGTCGGCCACAGCGAAGTCCCACTGGACAACATTATGCCCACAAAAAGTGGTAACACATAAGAAATTAGCTTGTCTGCGTACATAAGGTGACACGGCGTTCCAGGTCGATTCTCACCGCCCCCGCTACCTATTAATACAGTCAACAGTTTTATGGTAAATGTAGAGATAAATGAACGTTATTGTTAAGAATTATGAAAGAGGATAGTATTATGAAACCTGAAAACGTAAAAAGAGGCCAGTCTTCGTCTTTATGTAGTTTGTTAAAACGTATGAACAATTGAGAACGAACGGTAAAAGGGAGTAAGGGAGTGCCGAAGAATAGACTAGTTGCTAGTGCTACTTAATATATCAGCAATGAAACTGATGATATATAGTTAACAGTGAATTTATAATACATATTAAATTCCGTTGTACACGTAAGTAGGTACACATTACGTTCGCATAATCATCACCTTTTTGAAACCACACCAGACATTTTTAATTTCACGGTGACCTCCCAATTCATTTTATACAGAATAGGCTGAAGGCGTACATTCAGACAGAAAGACAGATATACATAAAAATATGTATATAAATTATAGCCTATATTCTGATGTATAAGCTATATTATTGTAAAGTTTCATTAAAATCCATTCAATAGTATTTGCGTGAAAGAGTAACAAACATCCATTCATACATACAAACTTTCGCCTTTATAATATTAGTAAGGATATTCGCGTCAGTAAATTTAATTTACACGCAGATCGGATTTTGAACCGGAAATATTTTTTACATAAAAACGGTATTAAACATAGAACAAATTTGTATCCGGCTTATAATATATGCATTAAACCGACGTCCGCGATACGCCCGAAACTCGCTTGCCATTAAAATTTATAGGTTGTAGGCATATACATCCAAATATCTATTTCACCATTTTCTAATATTCTATTAATTTATTAAAAATCGAAGCTTATATCATCTAGTCGACTATAATCATGACATATCAGAAGTTATATAAAATGTAGGCTAGGAAAGTATCAAAGAATACGCAGTCGCCATATTTTTGAAGGATAGCGTAGTTCGTACCATACCATCTACGCTACTTGGAATTGTATTTTACCTGTAAAATTCGATAGAAAGTTAATAATTTTTTGGTCACCGTTGACAGTTTTATGTGAGCGCAAAACCTGGCATCAAAATTTTCTGTCTGAAGTTATTCTTTTCGATAATTGTTGTTATAGTATTCGTTCAAAGTCCACATGGTTTTAAAAAATTAAACACTAGTAACTACAGATTATATCGAAATTTCATACATGTTGTAGTTAAGCTACGCTTTATTACAAAATTTTACATCTAATAATAGTTTTTTTTTTAAATGGCGTGTTGATTTAAAACAAATTTTAAAAGCTTCATCATAAATAGGCCTCATTATTTGATTCTGTGCGATATCGGAATTGTATTTTTAGAATATTATTATCGGGATAGAAACTAAAATTTAATCTAATGAATAGGGGGAAAATGTATCAGTACATAATAAACTACCTACTCAACCTTCCCTCTACCTTTGCGAGAGACTCTTATTATACTGTTTTTCTTAGAACTAACATTTATATTTAGAGTGGAAATTGTGCTATTAATTTAATTTCATTTAGAATTAATTCATCGCTTGCTATGAAATAAAATATATTTCATCTAAGTAATTAGAAGCAATCTTGATTATAATTTCAACTTCTACGAAGCCATTGAGTAACGCGATTCAAAATCCTTGCTAACATTATAAACGCGAAAGTTGGTATGTATGGATGGATGTTGGTTACTCTTTCACGCAAATACTACGGAATGAATTTTAATGAAACTTTACCATAATATAGCTAACACATCAGAATAAGACATAGGCTATAATGTATATACATATTTTATTAATATCTGTCTTTCTGTCTGAATGTTACGCCTTCAGCTTAATTATTCTACGCAGACGTAGTCGCGGGCAGCAGCTAGTAGAAAAATAAACTGATTTATATATTACATAAAGCACATTGCATTCTTGTGCTATCCACCTAAGAAGCATGCATAAATCGTTTAATAATTGTAACGTGCGTGGCGGTAACACTTTTGATTTGATGTTGTCTACTCATCACAGGGTATTCGAAAAAGTACGGCAGTACTTCGGTGCACAGAGCGAGTCAATACCGATGTCGTTCGTGTTGGGCTTCTACGTAAGTCTGGTGGTGAAGCGGTGGTGGGAGCAATACAAACTGCTTCCCTGGCCGGACACCCTCGCCCTCTTCATCTCCGCTGGGATACCTGGAGCGGTTAGTAAAGTAAAGACAAGACAAGTATTAAATCATATTTTTAAATAATTTTCACCCGCACAATCCCACTTCATTTTTACAGTTCAACATTTATTTACGTATTCTTTAGTTGAAAATATTATTATTTCCCTTTTCACTAATCAACTTGCACTCTTACAAAGCATGCGCTCGTTTTAACTCTATAACGTCTGCCCACAAAATGTGCCAGATACACTAACGATAATATTATTTCTTCACAGTGTGTACTTATTAATAACACTTCGATGCGAACTCATGAATATTTTTGAAATTCTGCTTCGTGTTTATATTCTCATTTGCTACTAAGATTGTCGTTTGGCCATAACTCCGTTTTAACTTACAATAACACGTCGCGTACGACTTAAACTATTTTCACACATTTCCTCATTACACTGTAGATTAAACACCGCCTTCGCGGAATTCAATGTGTGATTTATGGACGGGCCCAACGTCTCACCGTGAGGTTAATAAGTGACACAGAGCAATTTAACCGAGCAGATTGACAGTATATGATACACAACAATCCCCAATGAATAAAAAACATACGATTATACTGTTGTTCTGAATTGTCGTAGGACCAATTATTTACATTGTATTGACAGATTACATGTTTGCTAGTGCGAAGTATGAAGCTATTGCAACTGCGAAATACCGTGACCTTTCATACACATAAAAATAAGTTTGGACATAAAATTATGTATAATTTATTTTAAACATAGTTGTTAACAATATTTAATATATAGTATATACCTAATCTGTCCCATCCAGCAAAAAAGGATGTTTAGAAAGAACTTCGAATGTTTCCGTAATGAATAATTTGATGTTTTTACGCGTTTTGTTCAATCTTCTTAGTGTACAAACAAAAATATGTCATTAAGCGTTCGTATTTACCAAGCTTCATGTTGAAATGACGCATTGCAGTTCCCAAGATGATGAACGTCTTTATCTTCAATTAAAATCAATGTCAACGATTTTGATAAATATTTGCAATACGTGCATAATAAATATACTTATAAAGCACTTTTACTTTTGTTTTGTCATCTAATTATGGATGACTGACGAGCATCTTTCCTATACTGATATTATTATATTTAGTATTATACCTAACTTTTAGATATTTGCACTTATAAATCCAACACTAATAATCATACTAGACATTGCTTGTCAGAAGGCGTTTAGAACGCAACTCTGCTCCCATAGACATGTTTATATGGAGGTATTTGACTGGAAATAATTATTACTGACGTAATTATCGCGCCATGTTAAAATATCCATAGAATCGATTTTACTGTAACCAACGTGGGTTAGGATAGCTTGAAATATAGATCTGTATATGTATTTCAAGATTGCCGAAATAACATAATAACTGATTATAAGGGAATTTATTGACTGTTATAGCTTTAACTACACGAACCAACGATGATGCAATCGTATGATCGCAAAGCGAAAGTGTAACAGAAACATTGTTTTCATTCTTCCAGTCATGAATTCTTTTAGGTGGTGAGTAGAGTAGATTGCAGTGAGTTTAACAACTTAACTCGAATATGAACGGGAAACACTGACAAGGTAAAGTATGTTAATGACGGAATTAGTTATAATAATAATTATTGTAATCATTTATTTTGCCCTTGAATATTATTTGCCGCCATTTGTAATAAAAAACTAAATACACTTTGTGAAGCGTCTACGTCTATTGTTCTTTTTATGATCAAATTGTTATTATTACGTGAATTTTGTATTGTACGGACGGCTGACGTTTGCACTGTGAACTTTGCCAATGCACGATTTATGCGAAGTGTTAATGATTTTTGAGAATATGTTTTTGAACTTTTATCGATTTCCCCATTTCATCACTGACCAAAATTATGTTACATATCAGTTATGTTCGCACAGCACTTGTGTTTGTTCAATTAATTCAGATTTATTATTCTATAAACGTTTGGTGCTAATCCGTAACGATCAGAATGATCAATTCAAAGAGTCTAACCATCCTTTTGGCAACTCAAGTGACATTTGAGAAGCCATTTGTCAGCTGATTTGTTAATTTCTATGATGTTCAATGTTTCAGAAACCGGGCGTGAGTCTTTCATAGATTTTTTTTCCACCGTAGCTACCAGTGTCACCCTTAAGGCCCATTTACACGATGCCATTTTCTTGTACATACAAGAGCAATAATTGAATGCAATAAATTGCGCGCAATAATTGTTAAGACCATTTGTTGTTTAGACCATGCAACTCATTTATTGCTTCAATTTAATTGTATACAACAGGCAAGAAACTGGCACCGTGTAAATGGGCCTTTACTTGCTGTCTATCATCGCTTTCTTACATGAAAAACGTTTGGTAAACAAATATTTTTTTTTATTTGCACCATTTTATTACGACCATTCTACTCCCACTGTCAAGATTTTCTATGAAAAATAATTTATTAAATACGTTTAAGATGATTCGGAGTTACGTTAAACTAGTTCTGTGATCCACAGATAATAAATTCCGGCAGTCTATTATCGGGGGTCAACACAATAGAACCCAAACATTGATTGTTAAAATTTTTGTCTGTTTGTCTGTGCGTTTGTGCGCCCTAATCTTAGAAACGGCTGAACCGATTTGAGTGCAACTTTCACTAATGCTTGTTGTAGTAAGCTTCACTTAACATTTAGTGTTAGTTTTCTTAAAATCGGTTCATAAAAAAGGTTATATCGACTTAAAGAACCACACTCTAGATTTGTGCGATAAAAAGCTATATAACAGCTACATTTGAACTGGATGAAATAACTATATATAGTGGTCTGTAAAATGATAAAGATTGTAAGTTTATATAAAGTTAAAAAAAACCGGCCAGGTGCAAGTCGGAAACGCGCACGACGGATTCCGTACCATTATCGATAAAAACGACCAACCAACACTAGTTAGACTAAGTTTTGTAACTTTACGTAAACGTGATATATACAATTTTTTTTTCTGTACTGTTAGAATGACCTTGAACGCAACTTCTTTAGGTTCGATTCGCGTTTCGCGGCGGGCCGATATCGACCTGAACCGCACTAGAAAGTATTTAAGCAGTGATGGGGCGGACAAAAATAAAGGGATATCTATACTAATATTTTTAAACTGGACAAACTCTCTCAAGCTCACTCAGGGAATCTCGGGTCCATTATTGAGCAAGGCATGCTTTTTAAGAACGTTATAAAATGTAATACATGCGGGCGGAGCCGCGGGCGAAAAGCTAGTGTTTAATAATTCTGTAAGAAAGAAAATTGTTCTCTTTGTGGTAAAATATAACAATCTTACTTGACTTGTTTACATATAGTTCAACTTTTATAAGTAAATTTTTCTAATAAAATATTTAAAATCCACCTTTTTGGCTTTAACTTTGCCGTCGATATCGTTATCGTTTATGACGATAGCTTTTGTATAGTCAATCAGTTCATTATAAACTGAATTTTATATAAAAATATCTGACTAAAATCTAATTTACGTAACTAAGTCCATATTATTCCATTATTCCAGGCAAGACGGTTCGAATGCAATGCGAGATAATATATATATATATTACCGCCCCGGCTTCTCACGAGTGCAATGCTGAATGTTGGTTTTCGACATCGCATTAGAAACCTCTAAAATTATCAGTGTTTCTCTACATTATGCACGAATTGTACATATAAACCTTCCTATTGAATCACACTATCTATTAAAGAAAAGCGCGTCAAAACCCGTTACGTACTTTTAAAGACCTAAACATATATAGGGACAGACAGACAGCAGAATGACTTTGTTTTAAACTATGTAGTGGAGATTTCACCACACGGTAAGCCGGGGCAAGCAAGTTAGTTGATATACTGATACATTTGTCAAACTTTGTACCTACCTTACAAACTCTGGTTTCCTTTGCATAAGAAACTTCTATTAGAAATCTGTTGAGATTCTATTCAAAAAGTTGCCTCACGTCGGCTCCTTGGTGTTCGTGTAAAACTTTTCCACGGATCCTGATTTTTCTTGTACCGTTTTATTTTATTTAACATAAAAACGCTTTGCCAAAGGTATATGAAGCAAGTTATTAATTTTGAATCATTTTGATTTAACGATTTACTGTTAATTTTATATTATTCTTCCAAGTATGTTTTAATTACCTACTTGTAATTGTGACTGCGTTTCGTGACTAACTTTAATTTTCTGCAGTCTATTGTTTGCCTTGACCGCTTTAAAGCAAAAAGAAATTTAGTAACTTCGAACGTTTCTTCATAGTCCTAAAGAAGTTTTATTATTAGTCATCACTATTTATTTTTATCAACATATGACTAAAAACAATGGTCGTTATAATCAATTGCGTCGTGGATTAAAGTTGGTAAAAAGTTCATTGTTGCAATTTAAAAAACTAGAGAAATCATATTTTTCTTAAATTTCAACAACAAATACGGCCATAATTCGTCGCGTGCTATAATGCAACAAAATGATAAATCTTTTCGATGAATCTATGAACAAAATTTTACGAATAAGGTTCTAAATTTTTCCCAATTGTATGATAAAATAGTCCTTTGTTGTACTAACGCTTTATAAACACATTTTAAAAAGAAGAAACGACCAGATCCGGGGCAACTCCCTGTAGGTCATACGTATACTAGTCCCAGGGTGGTAGTCGTACAACTACGCCCACCGAAAGAATCAAAGTTTCGAAATGTATCGAAATCCATTGTTAATATAATATGGTGATTACAATAAATTAATGAAACTTTCCAGACTTAACGAGACAAAGCTATCTTGAGAACCGCCTACAACGCTCTTGCTCAAATTAACGTTCTTTAAATGGATACAGGGACGTACTTAAAAGTCGTTGTAAATGTGTGATTGAATTGATAAATATTTTGCCTTTGTCTTCTAACACACGACACAAGAAGAGACAATGTGCAGCGTAAAGGGCCGACTGAAAATCAGCGCCGCAGTACCGCGCGGCATATGCTGAGTCGGTCCTTTCCGTCACTATATCCTTATTT